CCCCCTCCAAAAAAACCCAAACCAAACAAACTTCCAACAAAGGAACCGAACTTTTATCTCCAGCGCGTGACGTTGAAGCACCTAGCCTCTACACCACAGACGCCAATTACACAGCAGTAATATGACACGTTTTTTTTTTAAAGCCTTCTTTTCAGAAAACCGTTTTGAGTACACTAACGATGTGATCCAGTCGATATAATTATAATGTAATAACTCTTTCAATTAAGAGATGAAGAGAAAATCGAATCAGCATTTAATGCTCAGATCAAGCACTTTACGAACTAGCTCTCTACATTTCGCTTACTTTATAAAGAACGCCACCACTCGACCCTAATGTCCTTATTTTGCGCGATTATTATAAGTATAGAGATGTGAAATCCCAGGCACAGAAAGAAAGAAAAAAGTTCTTACACAAGGTTAAAGAAATGGGCCACTGCACACAGTTCCTCAAAACGGGTGGGCGGCGGGCGGTAAATTTCATCATTTCGTTTCGTAATTTCGTTTCGGGTTTTTTCTTTTCCAAAAATCATCCATCGTACGTATGCCTTTCGTTTCTTTTCTTTTTTTTTTGTTTTCTTCTTTTCAAAAGGTCACCCATTTAGGCCTAGCCTTGTGATTTGATCAGACAGATCTTACAGGGAGTCGTCAGTGCCCAAATACAAAAACAAAATCGAATCTGCACTCTTGGCTTGGGACCGGCTCTTTTGTGACAGGGGATCTCGTTTTGATTATGTTTTCTTTCCTTGGGGAGGAACGTCTTTCAAGGTTACCATGGAAAACCTCAAGGGCGGGATATTAGTTTTAGTTTTAGTAAGTGTTTTACGGCACTTGCAACACAATAAGGTCATATAAGTGCCGAAAATAAGAGGTGTTACTAGAGCAGGAGACAGAAGTTCGGTTCCTTTGTTGGAAATTTTTTTTCTTTTTTTGGGGGGTGGGGTTGTTTCTGTTGTTGTTGTTGTTGTTGTTGTTTTTGTTGTTGTGTACTCAGTAAGAATGGTTTTCTGAAAAGACACTCTCACACACTCAATGACAAACTCTCACACACATACACGTGCATACACAAAAAAGAAGGAAGAAAGATAATGACGATAGATGTCAGATAGGAAAGAAGGAGCAAACCACACCAGAGCACCGACCAACCACACACGGGAGGGATATTACAGTTGGATAAGTTAATAGAGGGAAAAGACAGAACAATTAAATTCTGCTTTAATCATCTGTCAGCAGATGTTCAGCAACACAGAAGAGTAATCGAACTTTTTAATTGTCAAGGCCCTTAGCTAATGTATTAGCTACAATGTTTATCTCAGTCTTGGTAAAGTATGTAGCCCAATACAAACTCATGCACATACACAAACATTCGTATACACTCTCACATACTCACAGACTCACTCTCACACACATACACGCAAAATAACAACCACATAAACATACAGACACACACATGTGCACACACACACATGCACACACACACACACACACACACACACACGCACACACGCACACAAACACACAGAAACATACGCACATAAACACACATGCACACACGCACTTACACACAAATAATCACAAACAGACACACACCCACAGACGCATGTAGACATACACTCATCATACACACAAATACACACACACATACACACACAAATATACACACAAATACGCAAACAAACACACACACACGCACACACTCACACACAAATCTACACACACACACACACACACATCCACACGGACATACCCACACAAATCCATGCACTCCTACAGACACAGACACACACACACACACACACACACACACACACACACACACACACACACACACACACACACAC